CAGTCTCTTAGAGACCTTTATGGAGGGCAGTATATCAAACATCTGCCAAGTTGCCCCTTGTTGTGAAGCACCTTGTGTAGGATAAATTACCCCACATAAACTCCATGCTACAGCAACAGCTGTACAGTATTAGGTGCAAGACATGGGAAGATATAGTACCATTCTACTTGGTGCTGGTTAGGCCTTATTTGTGGTATTGTGTGTGGTTCTGAGCTCCATATGTTAAGAAGGATGTGGAGAAATTAAAGAGGATTCAGAGGCAGGTGGCAAACATGTTAAAGAGTTTGGAAGGCAAGGAAACATTGAAAGAAGTAGACAAGTTTAGCTTGTAGAAAAGGCAATTAGGGAGGGACATGGTAGCAAGTCTTCAAATATCTGAAAGGCTGCTATAAAGAAGAGGGGAGAATAACTTTTTTCCCTTGATGCAGAGGGCAAGATGCAAAACCACGGCATTAACTTGCAGTAAAATATGTTTAAGTTAGACACCAAGAATAAATCCCTTACTATTAGAACAGTGAGGCATTAGAATGAACTGCCCAGAAAAGCTGCAAAATCTACTTCTTTAGAGGTTTTCCATCAGAGGTTAGATAAGCATTTGACGTGGATGATTTAGGAGTAGCATTTAGGCCAGGGTTTGGATCAGATGACCATTAAGGTCCCTTCCAACCTTATTCTGTATATGACTAAAATGGTAAAGGTGTCTGAGGTAAGGCAGTTCCTGTATGCTTTCACTATTCTACAATCATTGCTGTGGCTACAGTGTGTATATGCCCTCTAAGAAGCAACATACTGCACTAGATGGATCTTGGGACTGATTCAGAAAGGCAGTTCCTACATAAAATAGGTGAAATCCTAGCCCCCACTGGCATAATTCCCACTGACTTGGTTTATTTCAGGTGTAAACACTTCATGTGCACAAGTTACAGCTTGCACCCGCAAAACACAACAATTATACAGCCACTAATATTGAGCAGATGTGCTGATATTTGCATTTATCAAAGGGACCTGACCTTTCCATGGAATTGCCTTTTCTTTTTTTTTTTTCTCCCAAGTATCTTGGGAAACTTGGATATCTTCGCTTCAGTGCAGTATTAAAATAGATGCCTACAAGAGAACCTTTTTCATTTTTTACTGAAGAAGTGTCTGCAAAAACTAAATTTGACATCCCATTAAAATATAATCCTATCAGATACTGAATGCAGGAAAACTAGTACTATGTAGTATGTGAGTGGTATAAGGTATTTGGAAAGGGTTTCTCATTACCAGAAAAGGAAGTGGTGGCTCTTTGTAAGATTCCTGTCAGTCAATCACAATTGAATAAAATTACAAAATACCAGTGGTAATAAATCAAAGAAAGTACCAAATATACAAGAGCTAATGTCAGTCTATGGGGATAGATTGTTTGCTCTAGATAGTGAGGGGAAGCAGCTAATATGGAGGTGCATGTTTGATTTGACTGGTGGGGGGGGACCTTGAGTGAGATGGAGGCTATTAGTCATCAAATCATGTTAGTTTTTATTTCTCTTTCTCTAGGTTACTAAGGAAAATAGAGACCGCCTTTTGGAGGATATTGTGACAACCGTTCAGAATTGCAGAAAATGAAGACAACTTTCTTTTTTTGTAAGAAAAATAAGTTCATATTTTAGTTTATAGCAGGAAAGCGCAGGCCTGCTCCTGCACCAAGGCACTACAGTCTTCATTGTGAGCAGGATAGTACTCAAGTGAAAAATAAGTTGGTGGGGCCCCATATTTGTCACTTTCTTATAAATAAAAGAAAAAACTACAACTTGCCAGGATTCTCTGTCACACGGACATGCACCCTGCTCCACAACCTCCCCCTGCCACAGTGCCTCATCCTGGGGTTTGAAACCAACTGGTTACAGTTATGCATATCCAATAACTATCAAAGTCAATTGAAGTACTGATTTAGGCCGTGGTTTTGCAAAACATAGTGCATAGATGGCCAGCTGTGCCCAGAGGCAAATTAAAATAATTGGGGCTATTTTATAGACCAAATACTCCTCTTCTATACCACACGTTGCAGAATTAGTGCTTGGTATCTGCAGAGCAGGATAGACTCTTGTCTGAACTACATTACTCTCTATATGTATTATCATCACCTCCAAAATGACCTAGTTTAGGCATGCTATTTAAACATGCCTTCATGACCTTTCCAATGAGCTTTGGCTGGTCAGTATTACAGCCCAATACAGAAAGTATAGAGCAGGTAAGCTGAGTTCAATCTTGAATCAGAGATAAAGCACTGTGTAGCTTGATGATGGCATCTTTATAGAAAAGGCCCACTTTAAATCATTTAACTGCTGCCTGAGGGGTGCATTGCCTGTTCTATATTTCTTTAGCAAATTTTGTGACAGCAGGGAAAAATAAGACAATACTTTAGTACCCTGGCTTCCTTGGCAGATGCTTTTATTCCATGAAATATTTAAAATATAAGTTCAAATCTAATGCTACATTTGACTATTCAAGTTGAACAATTCATTAAGGGTTTATTGATGCCTAATGATTTCTGTTTATTTCCTTTTTCAATCCTGTGCGTAGTTTTTGGTTAATGATGAAATAAGACATGATTGAGAGTATTAGATGACATATATCCCCAGGAGGTTTGTAAATGTGTTCAGGAAAAAGAAGTGTTTACCACTTAATCAGTTTTGCATGTCATGAAAACTTAATTCCCAGCCAGGTGCAGACTTGTTCTCTCATGATACAAAGCATTCTCTGGCTTTAAAAATTGTTAAGAATCTAGCTTTCCTTATTCCTGGATTTCTTATGTACATGGCAACAAATGTTTAAGTGAACACATTGGTTTAAAGGCATGTGAAAACTTGTGTTGTAGTCGCTCAGTCATTTATTCCCACACCATTATGCTCCAACAGCAGAAGTTCTACATACACTGCCAGATGGTGACAGGCCTTTTCACAGATGCACAGTAGGCTGTGGGTAGCCTGTAAAGAACTCCTTACTCTCTCTCATTCACGGTATGAGTACCTGTTAGAAACACTACCTGGCTATGGACCACTGGACAACATCATACCAGAGTTGAGAGGGAACCATAGGACCATTCCTTCTCTGATTCACTTAATAAGCAGTACTGGCTGAGTCAGTTTAGAAGAAAGTATAACTGTCACTGAGGTCCCTGTGGGCTGTGCTGCAGTAGGCTAATCCAGGGGGTGGGCAAAATATGGCCCAGGGGCTGGATCTGGCTCACCAGGGGATTCTGTTCGGCCTGCAGCAGGTCCCTCGGCTCTGCCCAGCCCAGGTGCTGGTGGCAGCCTGGGCTGTAGCATGTGTGGCCATTCCCCTGATTCCTGGCAGTCCTTGCAGCGGTATTTCTTCTGGTTGCTGCTTCCAGTGTCTCTGCCACCACCAGCCCCAGCCCCAGTGTCTGAGTACCCTGGCCCATTTGCCTTGCACCCCCCACCAGGGGCTCTGGACAGAGCGGGGAGACAGGATCTTGAAGACCAGCCTGGGACCCCTGTGGCAGGGTGTACTTTGCTGGGTGGATAGGATGGGCCCTTGGGCAGGTGGGGAACAGCATCCAGGAGCAGGATGGGCAGGCAGGGCCAGTGCCAGGGCCTGGATTACAGGGTGGTGACAGGCAGGGCCAGGGCTCAGGGCAGAGCCCCAATCCACTACCTGCCTGCAGAACTGGCACCCATTGCAGGGCCATAGAGCAGATCACGGCTCTGCCCCGGGACCTGGTCTCATGTTGTCACGGTCCTGTCTGCCTGTCCCACGCACAGACACTACTCCATGCCTACCTCTTGCCCACCCCATCCGCCTGATCAAGCGTGCCTTGCCCATGGGGGTTCCGGCTGATCTCCATGGAGACCCTGCCCACCTGCTCTGTCTGGCACCCCTGGCACTGGGTGCAGGGCAGCCCCCAAACTCTGGACGCCTATATGTTTGTATAGTAGTTTGTATGATGGATGCCCTACTCCAGGGCTGTCCTACTGGCAGCCCCCAAACCATATATGGCCTGTTAGGGGTTAACATACTGCCTGTGGCCTCCTGCCTGGCTGGTACTCCATCCATAGCTCTTGGAGTGGCACCAGGCAGCTCTCCCTCCCTTTTCTGGCTTCTGGTTCTTGCCCTGCTCCTAGGGTCAGGCTGGTTCTGTGGGAGGGAGTGAGGCTGCCTGTGCTGTACGTGTGGCAGGGGAGGATGCTGGGCTGTGTGCTTGGCAAAGAAGGGGGCCAGGCTGCCTGTGCACCACGTAGCCAGAAGGGGAGCAAATAAATGCTGTGAAAGGAAGCTAGTTGTGTATGCGGCAGGGGAGGGAAGTCAGGGTAGGCCTAGCCACTGTACCATGCACTCCCCAGGTCTGTGGCCTCTGCTGCATGTGGCCCCTGGCTGCCCAGAAGTAGGACAGCCCTAATGGGAAGCTTTGTTCACCGTGACACGCCCCCCCGTCCTGTGTCCTCCGTCCCCCACATAAACCAACGCTGTGTTAAACGCTCTGTGCAGTACAGCAGCCCTCAACATTTTGTTGCATTGTCAGCTGAAGTTAGAAGTTATAATTAGAAAGTTCAGTTGGCTAGTTTTAAAATAGAAGCAGAAAGCATGGGTGTTATTACAGCGGTTTTGAGTCTTTAGAACATGTCCTCAGATGTTTACAGGATAAGGAACAAAGTGGTTAATTTTGCAGGGCCAAAATGCCCTTGAGTGGTAAGGGCCATCTAAATAATTGTTCTTTCAATGATTAATAATTGCCAAGTGCTTCTTGTTCTCCAGAGCAGTCAGTTGGCATTTGGCAGAACACTGAATAAACTGTAACTGGGCCATTTAGGAACAGCTTTTGTTGAGCACTGAAGTCCATGAGAAAGACTCGTAAGACTTCAAGTACAACTGGGTGCTTAATGAGAAATGACTTCTAAAGAAAAAATAAAATCAAGTCACAGGTTAAGCATAAATGGCTGCTGCAGTTCTGCAGAGTCTGGATAACCTAGTTTGTTTTCTAAGTCCTACTTTGGTCAACAAGACTTTTTCAGTTGCATTTCTGTGAGTGGCTCATAATATCCACTTTGGTGGATATGTTGTCTTGTTATTGAGCACTTGTATGGCGCTTTGCTGATCCTGGCCTCTGGTTTGTAGAATACTGTGCACAAAGAAGAAGCTACCTGGTTAGAAATTAATTCACAAACCCCACCAAGTGGGGTGAGAATTTGCTTAGTAGGCCTGTAGCAGAAAGCCCCCTTTGTACATTTCCCTTCTGGACATTGATATAACAGAAGCCCCTTCTTGCCTGCAACCCCCGCCCCTTCCAACCCCCCTCCCCCATTTTGTGCATTTCTTTTCCGTCTCAGTTTTGGCAGGGTGTGGCAAGGCTCCAAGCAAGCCAGAAAGCTGAAGTGGCTTTCTG